AGAGCTTCCTAGGTTTTTAACGGTTTTGGTTTAATTTTTATTTAATGGATTCATGGAAACTAAGCGTCGCTGACGCTGTCTTAAGGTTCGCACCAGCAAAAAAAGTTAGCTCGTTTATTTGTCGTTTCATCTTGGCCAAAAACCAGTGCGGTTTTTCATTTTTTCACCAATGTTGCGGCTGGTCTACACTTGAGAACCCATTACACTTCCATAGCAGCTTTACAGCACGTCGCAGCTTTAAAACTGTTGATGATACGGCAAGAGCAGATTGAAGGTTCTCTTGGAAACTGCATCTGAACAAAGACAGCACAAATTGACTTTCTTCCATGCAGAGTGGCTCTTTTCAAATCCGCTGAGTTTCTGGTTCAAATTGCAAGTTTTTCCACGCGACGGGTTGCAGGCAGTCGTGCTTTTGGAAAAGTGAAGTTGCTTTGAAGCGTCTCGACAGCATGAAAGCGTTTGGGTGCTCTTGGCATGCGGTCTATTCTGCCAGAGATTTTTCGGCCGAAGACACCCTCGAAGTGAAGGGTTGGCTCAGTCGTGCTGTTTTTTCGAGATCCGGATCTTGTTTTGTTTTGTGCAGGATTGGGCTTTCCGCCACAGTGATTCGGTACCGAGATTGCTCCATCGTTGGTGGATCCGGCAATGTCTTGTTGGAGCTTCACGTCGCTTGCTGCTGTGATTGTTAAAGGCTATCAGTTTGTTTTAGTATTTTCAATTTGGTCCGAACAGGTGCAGGGTTTCGGTTTCAGGGTCAAGGTTTGAGGATTTGAACTGGCCCAGGCCCAATCGCAGCTGCTAGCAAGATTGCAACGGTCAGGTCCTTTTGGATGAAAGAAACATTGTACTTCGTTTTTTGGCAATTAGCTGTTACGTAGCTGCGCATGACCCACACCGCCAAAACCAACGTCAGCTTTTCCGTGCTTAGAAGTTGTCTGTGTTTCGAGACCGGATATCGTCAGACCCCTGTGAGCACGCTGCTGTGGCTCTTGTGTGAAATCTTTGAATACCAGGCACACAAGTCTCCTGGGATGGTCCTCGTAAACACAGCACAAACAGGTTACATGGAAGAATAACAACCCTGGCACAGCATACGTAACACCTGCACTAGCGTCAAAAAATCCATTTTACTATTGTGTTTGCCCTAAAGGCCTTACCCTGGAACTCAATGACTTGAAGCCCATTGATGCGTGGTATCATAAATTTGTACGTCGATGTGAAGGAATCAGAGCTTCCGATCATTCCCACAGAAGCAACCGAGGGTGTGGGCCGCGCTAAGCTACCTTTCCAGATCTTACTGCAACAATTTCGCATCTGTGCAAAATCCTGGTTACTGCAATGCCTAACGATGCAGTCCATCATGCACTCTTTTCTTTCGGGAAAAGGGTCGCATGAAGTTCGCTAAGCTGCTCGTAAAGAAGATCCCCGGAGTTTTTGGCTGGAGCAGGTCGCAGAGCGGATATGCTGTTACTGGTTTTCCAAAGCACAGCTCGACCACACCACCTCAGACCGTAGGGATTTATTAGCACAAAAGCGCAGCGCTTGGATGCCCATGGCAATCGCAAAAACCTTAACCCATATTCGGGCCGGAGCTCGTCACGGTGAGGTAAACCTGTAGACCCAAAACCCAAGCCTGAAACCCCAACCCGAAATACCCGTAAACTGTGGTTGGCCCTTGCTAGTCTGCCTCCCTATCCAAACTGCAAGCCCTTAACCCTGAGCCGCATGTGGGCCGTGGATAGACGAAAGTGGAAGGTTTCGTGGAGACATGTTGGAACATGTGATGTGAGTACTTTCACTTACACCCGGACGTTTCTGGCTCTTAAGCCCGTGTTTCCCATCGAATGTCATCCGAAGCGAGATGTTCAAGAACCCTGTTGCAGGGCGCATGCGAAGTTATCATGCTTTATGAAGTAGTTGAGTGTTTGTAGTGTTGCATCTGCGACTTGAAAGAGCTTCTAGTCTGCATGCATTTGGTGCGCCCACCTGCACTGACCTGTCGTCCTTCAATCCCAGCAATCTCGGGCAAATTCAAGCGCTCGTCATTTTTGCATCCAACCGTCGGTCAGGACCGAGTGACTGGAGCTATTGCTGTGGGATTGCTTCATTCTGCAAAAGGATCCTGCAGGAACCCTCACAGTTCACCGCGTCGCATTTCAGCAGCACTGAGCATTAGCGGAGGGATGGAGACGGCGTGTCAAGGCGAGGTGTTTCTGTACGATGAGATGTTGGGTTATGCCGGCTTTGAGGCGCGCACTGGGGGCGTTCCAGAGGGTTCCAAAGCTGTCGTCTGCATTGGAGGCTTGACCGACGGCTTGTTGAGTTTACGATACCTGCCAGCATTGGCTGCAGAACTGCAGCAGGTCGGTTGGCGAACTTTTCAACCAGTACTGCAAAGTAGCTACAGGGGCTGGGGTTTTGCCAGTCTTGACGATGATGTATTGGGAATCGACAAGTTTTTGTCCTTCCTGCGATCGAAGCGTGGGATTACAGAGGTCGTCCTGCTCGGATCATCGACCGGATGTCAAGATGCAGTCCACTATCTTAAGGTTGGCAAGCTCGCTGATATTGTACATGGAATCGTTCTCCAAGCGCCTGTGAGTGATCGTGAAGCTCTGTCTGTCGAAACTTCTGGAAACCAAGTTGAAGCCCTGCGTGAGTTTGCACAGACAGCAAGCAAGATGATAGCTGAAGGACGAGGAGAGGAGCCATTGCCTCGCGCAGCGTGTCAGCTGTTTGGTCCTCCAGATGTGATTACGGCTTATCGTTTCGACTCATTGACAAGACGGCTGGCAGATGACGACATGTTCTCTTCCGATCTGTCGGCAGATGAGATGAAACAGAAGCTTGGTCATGTGCACACGCCTGCTTTGTTGATAGCTTCCGCGGATGACGAATATGTGCCAAAGACTGTCGACGTGTCACGGTTGTGCCATCGCATGGCCGATGCGATGGCTGCGGGTGTAGCACGAACTGCAGAGTGCTTGGTCTTGCAGCAGGGTGGCCATGGGGTGCGCGGGCAGGATGCACAAGCGCGTTTCGTAGATGCAGTTGCAAGATTTGTTGCCAGACTCAGTGTGCACGAGCATCACGAGCTTCCGGACAGCTTACGTCTTTCTCGATTGACATGGGAAGTCTCTTTAGCAAACACTCTTCGTGGCAGAGCAGCATCCTTGCCTTCCGGGGAGCCGCTTCTGGTGGCGCTCGCGGGGATGCCAGGATCGGGAAAGAGCAGGATCTCACAAATCTTGTTGCGCCTGTTGCAGCCGGATTGTCTTGTGGTACAGATGGATGGATATCATACTAAGCTGTCCGATCTACAGTCAAGACCAGACGCCGTAGATGCAGTGTACAGGCGAGGCGCTCCAGACACATTTGAGGTATCGTCTCTGAAAGAAGCGCTGAAGAGGGTCAAAGCTGGAGAATCAAGCGTGAAGTTCCCCGCGTTTGACCATGCAGCGCCGGACTGCAATTGAGTTGGGTCGGGCATCGATTTGGCTGCAGGTTGTTATTGTGCGTTGCATGGTATAGTCATTGTAGCAGCTCTGCGTGTAGAGCTGTTTGTTTCTGCTGAGGCACGTGGTGATCCAGTGGAAGATGCAGTTTGCTTTGACCGCCGTGTCCATCGGATAGTTCTTGTGGAGGGGTTGTATCTGCTCCACCGGAACGATGGGAGGCCAAACTGCATTGGGGCATCCGTTGTTTGCTAGTTGCTTTTTTTGGTTCAGGTGGATAGCATGACGATAGATGAAGCATAGTCCAAGCGTGGACCGAGTGCAAACGTTTTCCGCTCAAACGTGACCAGCCAGCAGAGGTGGCAAGAAATACCAGATCTCTTCGACTTCAAGGTTTACCTTGATGCGGATCTTGAGGACAGGTCAAGACTTGTTGCATACGCTTTGGTGCCGTGGAAGCCATCGCGTTCCGCGATTGAAAGGAGTGCATCGGCCGAGTGAAGGAGCGCAACAAAGTTATTCCAGGCTCCTGTCTCTGCAGTTTCTCTCGTGTTCTTCGTGCATTTCCTTTCCATGCAAGAGTTTGCCAGCCATTGTCAGGCTACACCCCACAGGAAATAGACAAGCGTTGCGAGGAGGTGGACAGACGAAATGCAGAGGCCACGCCTTCCTTCGGTTCGAAACATCTTCAGGTGTCTGCACGATAAGACAAGCATCCTGCGGATGTTGCCTGTGGAGGTTGTTCAGCTGACGCAGGGAGAGGCAGATCTTCATGCAGGTCCCAAGCTGAACCAGGCTCCATCCAAAGGCTGATCTACAGGTGCAAGGGCGCCTAAGAGCCTGCCTGCCGGAGGCAGGCGTTTTGAGGCTAGGACTGGCTGAAGTTTTTGTGCAGGCTTGGGAGGCCTGTCAAAGGCAAAGCTTAGCGCTGCTGGCAGCAAGTCGCAATGCCGGCACGCCACCGAAACCAGTGTGCGAGGATTCGGCGTGAAAACGGACGGGACTTCGAGACCAACCGCTCTTAGATCGATCACTCCACCCCAAAGTTTATCCTATCCGAAACTATAGAACGGATCCTAGCCTTACCCACCGCGGTATACCCTCTAGTTTTCCCGTGACCTCAGCCTTCGCCCTAAAGCAACCCACCGAAGCTGACCCCAATCTCTACGGTGGCCGGACGTAGCTGGACGAGGCCTGGAAAGGGGATAACCTGGGTTGATCGCTTGGGGTTGGAAGGAACCTTAGAATGAGGCCAAAAGCTTTATATATAGTTCCAGACAAGATCCCAAGGTTTTATATATAGTCCCAGAGAGCCTTGTTGTCCCAACAATTAAAGAGGCCCACGCCGTCACTAACCCATATTACTTGATTGCAAGACGAAGATGTACCGGCTCAAGCAGCTGAGCGCGAGATGCATTCAGGATTCCGAGCCTTCCCCAGCAAATGCAAGCATGTCCAGTCTTCGACTATAAGCTTTCGTTAGTGTGCACGACATGGTAGTTTTGGGGTCATGGTTCGGCACAAACCGAAAGCTTCATCCGATCGTCAGACGAACTCGGAGGGTAAACCAAACCCAGGCGCGGTCTGTAAGAAGCTCCGGGACCATTCCTGCGCACGGACGTCTTGCACACCTGAGCCTTGGTTGCGTGCTCCTGGAAGGTGTGAGGTCAAGTTTGCTTCTCGTTTGCCCACGAAGCTGCGCAGCGTCTTGGCACAATGGGAGTCCCGTGAAGCGTGCACAAGTTGAATATGTTTGTGTGCGTGCGCTGTGTACCATGTGGGGCAGAGGTCATCTTGCTGCTGCTGGCGGGCATTGCTTGCGGGAGCATGTTCCTGCCTTCATCGGGGACCACTCATGCAGCATCGGTGGAGACTTGGAGGGGAAGTAGAATTGACATGATGCCGCACTGGTTGCATGCTTCCATGTTGAAGTAGGCCAGTAGGCGACGAGGTGCAACCCGTCAATATTGGGGAAACTTCCTGAGTCGTCTCATGGCCATTAGGATTCCCCACGTGGTCCGCCTGACCAAACATTTGCAGACACTGCTGTCCCGTTGGTGCGGCAGTTCATCAAGTCCCGATACAAAGACTACGGGAAGGGCACTGCAGCCTGTCTCAAACGTTGTGATTCAAGCATGGCTGCTCTGCTGTTCATGTCGTTCCGAAGATGCTTGCCTCGTGCATCAGGTAACCCTACGTCATTTGAAGGAGCACATCGTGGCAAACACCAACATCGGCCTGACATACGAGGACTCCTGCCGACGGCTTGCTTATATGTTCTTTGCCAACACTGGCTCTCCAGTGAGCACCGTAGCAGCTCAGAAGTCTCTGCAAGACAAGTGCACAAGGATTCTGTGTGTGGCCATGCCGCACAGATCCTGTCGAACTACAGCTGAACATACTCGTTGTCAAGTGGCTAATGTGTCTGAGGACTTGAGGGATGATCGCTACTCCTCCGTGATCGAGGATGAAGTTGATGCGATTGTAGCAAGATGCGACGGGGGCAAGTGGCTTGTCTCAGAAGCTCTGCTGTGGAGAACTCCTAGGAAACTGAAATGCTTCCTGACATGTTCGCTAGCGGGATGTACCCTGCTGAGGAAGCCCGTCGCGTGTCTGGACACGGCTAAGCCATCGATCGAGCTGTGAGAAAGGCATCTTTTAAAGTGAAAGGGGTGTCATAGTGTGTTTGTGGCGACAGTGGCATCAACGGCAGTGCGTTGGTCTTGCAGAACCGCTGCTCAAGCTGGAGAGCTGTCCTTTTCTGTTACCCCACAAGCAGACTCCATTCTCGTCTAGATGTTCTACACCCTTTAGCAGTGGTCAGGTGATTTGAATATTTCTTGGTGAACTTTGTGCCATGTCGGTTGTCGGACGATTTCGTTTAATCGTTCCTGGCGCGACTGCGAAGCCAGCTCCAAAATTGGGGCAAGCTTTGGGACCGTTGGGAATCAATATGGTGCAATTCTGCAAAGACTTCAATGCGCGGACGACCAAAGTTCGACCAGAGGTTCCACTTCAGTGCACTTTGGTGCCCCGATCGGATCGCACTTACAAATTCTTTCTACGAACGCCAGAGTCCCCTTGGTTTCTCCTGCGGTGCGCTAGGATGGCGAAAGGGTCTGACTTTGGTCAGGGGGCTCCGCCAGTTGGGAATATCACCTTGAAGGAGCTCTTCCATATAGCCAAGGCCAAGAGCATGGATCCGCAGCTGATTGGAGTGCCGGTAAGAACAATCTGTCTTGGCCTCATGCGCACTGCCAAGCAGATGGGCATCAAAATATCTCGGACCTTGGAGCCCGAGTTCTCCAAGCGGGATGACCAACCCGTCGAGGGCCTGGAAGAAAAGCGGAAGCAGCTGCGCCTTCTCAACAAGGCGCAGAAGAAAGGAAAGGCCAAGAAATGATCGACTTGAAGGGTCCACGTCTCACCTTCGGAGAGCTTCGCAGCACTCCGAGAGCCCCAATAAAAGAAAGGGTCTTCCTGTGTTTCGGCTAGAGCACAGCCGTGGGCAAGGATGCGTAGATGCCTGCATGGGTATATGTCGCGGGTGCCCAGCTTTCAACCCAGGATGGCTGCATCTAGACCTGTAAAAAGTAGTTCAACACAGTATCGTTACAGCACATCAACCTGCTACTGAGCCAAGATGTTCTTGTCGATCTTGTCTCGCGAGACTTTCGTGTTGGGGGAGCGACACAGCAGAGTGCTCTCTGTCCTACTGATGCACAGAGAGCCTTGCAAGCTGGCCCACGGATGGATGGGCCATCCCACGCTTTGCACTCAGTCCTCCCGGAGTGACCCCGTTGCAAAACCCGATGCTCTCAAGGATGCGGGGCACAGGGATGCAGAGACGGTTGTGCAGGCCTGCACCGAAACCCCGGAGCTGTGGTGCACATGTGTGCCAGTCTCGATGCAGGGGCTGGCAGAAGCTCTGAGAGAAAACACAACTCGCTTGGGAACGGATGCCATTGCCTCATCTTCTGAGCTTTCCAGTGTTTACCCAGACTTAAAGTATGCCGCAGGAGTTTGAAAGAGTGAAAGGCTCCTGGCCCAGGTGCATCCTGACTTGGGCATGCAGTGGTCTGCATCTCAGTGGCTGAACATATTTCACTTGACTGACCAGTCCGGGGCCCGGATTCCTCCAGGCTTGAGTACGGTGATGCTCTGCTGAGCCTGGTGGAAACAGGCCGAGTTCGCAGACAAGGAAAGGAACGCTCGCCATGCACAGCTTTTTCATAGGTGTTTCTGGCAACGTTGGCGGGGAGGATATGGATGTTGTCAGCGAGGACTCGGCACGTTTTCACAGTTGAAAGAGTTCAAGTCGCCCCGGGTGGCACCTGCTGGCACATCTACAGGATCCGGAACGTGCTGGCGCCGTGAATCCGGAGAGCCAAACAACCCAGGGGAATGACGACACCCAGGAGTGCGACTGCCTTGGCAGAGGGAGACACGTTACAGCAATCCAGAACAGGGTGTCCGCCTGTGCCTGGACCAGGCTCGAACTTCGCGGAGCTCGAGGAGGATCTTGAACTTGCCAGGCGCAAAGAGCAGGTTCAGGCTGGCGTTCAAGGTGCAGGGCAGAGCTGAGCATGCTGGGAAGCTCTCAAGTGAAGCTGGCTCTTGTTCTCTTGCCTTTCGCGCAGCCCAGGCGTGGGAGTCCCTCGAGACTGCAAGGCACGCCGTCTGTGAAGAGTTACAGCGACCACACCCTGGAGTTTGGTGTCTTTTGGGACGAGGCGTTGCTTGGAGATGAAGGTGCCAAAGAGAGGCGTCATAGCCACTGTCAGCAGCACGTGCAACAATCAAGGCGGAAGACGCAGCCAGCTCTTCTCTTGTTCGATGTCATGTCCGCTTGGCCGACCTCCTGAACCTACAGGACCCTTGCGTGAGTCGGACGGTCACTGTCGTCTGCGAGCTCCATCATGCTCCCTTCTTTTCTTGGAGCCGGTACAGGGGCTCAAAGAAAGCGCCATCGAAGAGCACGGGGCTTGGAGCAAAGAGCGGCTTCCTGGCGAGACTTGCAGCACTCTGCAGTGAGGTGTCGCAAAGCGGAAAAGTACAGCAAGACGCAGGAAGAGAAGGCTCCGTGTTGGAAGCCAGCCAACTAGAACCATCAACCTGGCTTGATGCAGGGATTGTCATCCTCGCACTTGTTGCGGCTGCAAGCAGAATTTTCTGGCTTGGCGGCAGTGGCTGGCCTACTCATTCAACTGCTTGTGTGGGTAGCATGATGAACTGTTATAGATTACTACATGTACTGGACAGGAGGCGACGATCGATGTGGGCGAAGGCATGTCGAAGTTCTCCATGTGAAGTCCACGATCTGCACGCTTGGAACACTTGCAGTCCTAGGTCTGAGTCTGGCGGTCCAGAACTCTTTTGCTGCCAGAGAGCCAGCCGTCGAAACTCCAATGGAGGCAAGGGCAAGGCTGCAGTTTCCATCCCGTGCAGCTGTGCAACTCGTTTGTCACAGCAAGGTGCCCGTTCGGAAAAGGCCGCGCGTCCAGAGCCTCGATCGCAGCAGTTCGGAGCAGAAGCCTCAAGACACGACTGAATCCGCAGAGGAGGGAGAAAGATCTCCTGCCATCTTGGAGCTTCACACTTCCAGTCGTTCTTAGTTTGACACACTTGTTGCACAAGCCTATGACACCTTGGTTCCCCAGCTTGGCAATCTCTGCCAAGCCGAAGCTTGTGTGACAGCATGCGCCAGCGACTTCATGCCATGAGCGTTAGAAACTTCGCGTTGACGGCCGAGTTTGAGCAGCGTGGCTGTTAGACTGTTAGCATTTCCGGCTTCCGATGTCGGCTTCTTCGTGACTGTCGAAACGCTCTCCGTCGTGGTGATCGGCTCACCTCACTTGTAAACCAAGCTGTCATTTGTCGAGCACAGGTAAGACAGCAAATGAACAGACAGATTGATGCTGTCTCACACCTCTTGGAGTGCCTACGCCGCAGGTCTTGGATCAGCAGGCGGCAGGAAGCATCCGCAATTTGAGGCTAAGAACGGTTGGAGAGAAACTCGAGCTAACACGGGAGGAATGCAAGGCAACCATCCGCTTGCGGCATGCAGTACATTTTTTGTGGTGCCTCTGGCCCTCTTCGTCTCGGTGTGGACTGCGCTTCTCCGAATCAGGTGTCGCTCCCTCGCAGGGATCGCCCCAACCCCCAGCTGCAGGAAGGATACAGAGCGGTCACGGGGTCATTTTTGTTAAGCCGATGCAGCACTGAAGCGGCATACTCCTCGTTTGAAGCTGTGTCCTGCACTGTCAGTCGTGTTTCGCCAGAGCAGGTAGGGCAAGCAGAGCAGCTCAGCAAGAGTACTTGCTGTGCCTTCGCTGATTCATGTTCTGGCTCTTGCCAGTTCCACCGTTCCGATCCAGCGGCGGTCACTTTTCTACACATGAGCTAAGTTACCAACACCACGCACGACACGACGGCGCTTCCATGGTTATTGAAGCCTACACACAGGAATCCAGAGGTCAGCAGACTGCACAGTTTCCGAGCCAAGCCCTCGTTCCACCACCGGCATGGCCTCGGAGGCACGAAAACGAATCCAGGAGTTGGCACCCTGTCGTTCGAGCAAACTTTGCCAGGAAACCCTCACCTCTGAAGACTCTGGTTTCCGGACAGCTGAAGAGACGGAGGAGGAATGGGCAACAGAAGCTCAGAGGTGCGATTTGAGCAGAGCGACATCTGCGGCTCTAGGGACCTCGCCACGGCAGGCTCATCCAAAGATACCGACGAGCCCACGACTTCGAGGAGATCCGCGCAAGCGGACGCAGAGGAGAGAGGGCAACCGCACTGCTCGCTTTGGCTTTCAGGCCACCCGAGATTCTCAGAAGCCTGGACCCCAGAGACCGTGGCTCTGAGACTCTCCTGGTAGCAGCCGCACTGCATCTCTGTAACTTTTGGCAAAGCTTGCGAGCGTTTTGAGGTCCTGTCGCTTGAAGCGCCCCTTTGAAACTTTGGAGACGGCTTTTCAGGTGACCTGTCAGGCCGGGCCTGGGCTTTCTGCGCTTTTTCCTTCTTTGCTTCTATAATTATAATCGTTATTATTCTCTGTAAATTAAGCTTATTATGATGATTATTATTGCTATTACCAAGAGTTTCTAGTTGGCCTCAGCCGGGGTCACCCATGATAATTTCCAGATA